CTTACCTGCTTTCATGCTTTTCATTGCTTTCATTATTTCATCTACACTTATCTCCCTACCTCTCTCCACTTCTTCCGGAATTTCTATTTCACTTATTTCAGACGACTCTTCACTCTTAAACACGCTTTCAAAGTATTCCTTCCATCTCTTTAAATTCGAAACTTCATCATTCAGCATGCAGCCATTCTCGTCTCGTATAGCATTCATTCTAGGCTGTTTTGAATTTCCCCTGGCAGTTCTTACGAGCTTTCAGAACATTTTAATATTAAGTTATCAGATATCCTTCTATCATTTTTATCTATCCTTTCTTGCTTTTTCCTTTCAACAACTTCTTTTACTCTCTTATTTATACGTCTAAAGTTTGCCTTTTTTCTTTCAATCTCATCATTCATACCGCCAGAATTACCAGCTTTAGTTGCTAGTAAATCTAGCCATGCTCTCTTCTTTGCTTCAACTTCCATCCGTACCTCATCATCCCACCACAACGTATTACTTTTCCTTTCATTCGTTCTCTTACTTACACCGCATACTTCGGTGGCTGCATCCACCAAAACTTTCTTAATATTATTCCATACATTCTTCAATTCTAAATCATTCATACATAATTCATTCAACCCACTTATATTTTCCCTCAGTCTGCATTTATACTTCTCTTTCACACCTTCATCTTGTAACCTCTCTATTCTTATACGCTGTAACGCAATTAAGTTTTCCCACACAATGTATATTGTTTTTTGGAATAAATGACTAATGACTAATGACTATATTATTTAATGGCTAGTGTGGACGTGAAGTTATAATTTAAAGTGCGAGGTAGTGATTCTTAACAATTTTTTTAAATACCGGTAGGGATGGTGCGCGTTTTAGTGACAATGGGAGTTCGTTCCATAAATCCTGTACAATAAAAGACTTTTTCATAAATTTTCTAGTGTATAGTGGCAAATTCAACCTCAAACTCTCTGCTGATCTCAAGTTACGCGAATCGGAATCATGAAGAAACTCAAAACGATTTTTGAGGTAAGAAGGGTAAGAAGGATTAAAGAGAACACTATAGAGAAGATGAAGTATGTGAGCATTCCGATGAAGTCGTATTGGCAACCACTTGAGCTTAGTACAAAAAAGAGATACATGGTCATATTTGCGCAGTCCAAATATAAACCTTATGCAAAAATGCTGAATTCGCTCAAGTTTATCGAGGTGAGCTTCGGTGAGATCTAGATAGCTGACGTCTGCGTAGTCAAAAATAGGGAAGAGAAGGGACTTGGCAAGCATAGTTTTGGTGGAAATGGGAAGAAAGTTACGTAATCTACGCAAGGAGGCTGCCGAGGCACAAACTTTGCGATTAATTTCTTTGATGTGCTGTCCCCACGACATATTCTTATCTATGTGGATACCTAAGTTCTTTACTGAATCTGCGTAAGGAATAATAGTTTTACCAAATACTAGAGGCAGGTAATCTAGGCTCGACTTAGCTAACATTTGCGCGCTGCCCATGATAATGGCTTGCGATTTTGCTGGGTGGCTGGGCGAACGTGAAGGCCGTTTACATTACTCCACTCAAGAATTCGATCGAGATCTGCATTAACGACATTGATAGCATTGGGGTGATCGTTGGGACAAGCTTTTGTATATATTTGTAGATAATCTGCATAAAGGTGGTAGGAAGAAGTTAAATTATTGGATATTGAGTTTATAAAAACTGCAAAAAGCAAAGGAGATAAAACGCCTCCCTGTGGTACACCAACACGTACGTTACACCAAGATCATAATGTATCGTCGATACGTATACGTTGCTGGCGACCAGACAGGTAACTCTGAAACCAACCAATCGCTGTTGGAGATACGTTAAGAGAGCGCATTATGCCGAGTAGGACATCATGGTCAACGGTATTAAAAGCATTACTGAAATCTAATAAACAAAGAACAGTCACTTCACCGTTTTCCATTCCTAATCGGATATCATCGGTGATGTTCACCAATGCTGTGGTAGTACTGTGTCCAGGTCGAAATCCTGACTGTAAAGGATTAAGAAGAGCATTCGCACAAAGAAAACTGTTGAACTGGTTGTAAACAAGGCGTTCAAGGACTTTAGATAAGAAGGGCAGTAAAGAGATAGGACGATATTCAGAAAAGGATGTAGGATTACTTTTCTTTGGAATAGGAATAATTTCAACATTTTTCCAAGATGATGGAAAACTACTTGTAGAAATGAAGAAGTTAAGGATATGACAAATAATAGGAAGAATAATATCGAGAATGGGAATAATCATGTTACGACTGACACAGTCACTTCCCACTGCATTGGAAGTAATAGATAGAACGCTCTTCTTAACGTCACAAGCAGAGAATGGTTTGAAAACAAAAGAAGAATGATTGGGAGTGGGAATAGTTGAAAGATATGTTAGTGTATTAGCCTTAGTAGTGTTATCTAAACAGGACGAAGAAGAGAAATTTTTATTTAAACCATTAACGTTTAAATCTTTTGTCGTTGGATTATTCTTAGATTTCCCAACACCCAATGATTTGAGAAATTTCCAGACCTTAGCCGTATCACAATTTTCCACTGACTTATGAATATGAAGGCGTTGAACATCCCTACACACCTTATTGCAGTGATTGCGAATGTTAATATATTTTTCCCTATTAAACGCATTCGGCTTACGTTTAAACTTAGCCTTAGCTATCGCTTTTTTATTGATTATAGATTTAATATCATCGGTAAGCTAAAGTTTTAATTTAATTAATGTTTGAATCTGATTAAAAGTTTTTCAACGTAATATTAACAGTTGTTTTATTTTAACAAGGAAGGGATGCAGTATACAGCATTTTAGTGGTGGGGATATACGATTGTCTAGTTACAGTAGAGAAGAGGTGAGGACAGTCGACTGTGGACGGTCGTGGCATGCGGTCGTATTCGGTGTGCCTTTAACTAACGGAGTGATAAAGTGCACCTATACTTAGTGTGAGTGCTCCGAGCATTTTACAGGTATGTATGTGGTCTGTGGTACTAAAACCTATTCGGAAACTAGTTTGTTCAGGAGGCTGAAAGTCGTCGAGTCTACATGCCGTTTTAGAGAGCCGCGTCTACACGCGGCTCAGAAGGGACACCAGTCTGTAGTTTTTCAAGAGAGCATTGTCTCCTTTCTTGAAGAACAAGATCACCGCACTTCTGCTCCACGCCTCCGGAGTAGTCCCATCATGAAGGACGGAATTAAAGAGCTTCTTAAGGAATTCAAGTACCGGTTTTCCACCCGCTTTCAGAAGCTCCGCAGTAATCCCATCCTCGCCTGGGTCCTTGCCATTTTTAAGCCATTCTAATCTCGCTCTGACTGACGTTCGGAATATCATCGAAATAGTGTCAGATAAGACTTGCTCTTGGATTGTTACTCACACTTACGTGTGGGTCCAATGATGATGTGTACAGCTGCCCATAGAACCTCTCAATCTCACACAAAGCCCCAGGTGTCTCAGAAACGATGCTGCCATACTCGGTTTTCAGCTTTGACAGTTGGCTCTTTCTGGCAGATAGATCTCTTGGCTAATATTTTAGAGCCTTGGTTCCGCTCGATCGCTTCTTCAATACGAGCTGTATTGAAGTTGCGTAAGTCCCGTCGTATGCATTTTGAGATCTGTCTATTCAGTGTCCTGTATGCTGTCAAATATGTTGAAGACTGCAGCTTTATTTCCCGTCTAACAGCCATGACGTTAAGAGTGTGATCGAAGAGTTTTTGTGTTCTTCTGCGGCGGGTCTTGCAAAACTTAGCTCCAACCGCATGGACAGTTTCCACGAGCTTGTCGTTCATATCATCCACTGCATTGCAGTATTCTAGGCACTGAAAACGGTTTCGTAGTTCGAGCTGAAAGGTTTCGGGACTTTGGATTAGAGCACGAGGGGGACGGAGCGTTGACTTCATTAGACGTGACCTCACCAACTTAACGTTTAGGTTCAGTGTGCCTCTCACCATTCGGTCAACGCTGCCGGTTTTCACCCTTGCGATCACTGAGAAATCACTGATCAGTTGTCGTCTGGTCGTCATAATGAAGTCAATCTCATTTTTTGTCGATCCGTCGGGGCTCGACCTGGTGGACCACTTCCTATTGGGCCGCTTCTGGAAGAAAGCGTTGATCATAAAGAGTCTCTTTTTTTCCATGAAGTTGCCCTATTCCAAATTCTCTTGTGTCTAGTTTTGCTTTTAAATCTCTCATACCGTATAGTCGGTTTTGGAAGAATGCGTGGCTGTAGAGATATCCTCATACATTTACCCCACCTCCTCATCGGGATGTGCCGAGGTTGGTGCGTAAGCCTGTATGACCTTCAACGAATACCGTTTGGTAATTCTGAGTATAAGGTTATGCAAACCCTCGTCGACACACTTACAATCTTTACTACCTTGTTAACGAGAGACTTAAACGATAAATCCGACACCTCCTTGGGACAGATGGTCGCCCTCCCGGTGATAGAACAAGTTGCCGGATTCGAGGATTATCGTGTCGTTCCCCTCTCTTCGGATCTCAAATAATTTCAATTCCAATTCTTCTCGTCTGTGCTCAGGGTGCGTGCGTTATATGTTGCCAGGTCAAGTTGTCTTAGGTGGCAACCGAACCTTCGCCGAAGATTCTTAGCACCCCCTGTCCTGCCGTTACCTCGGTGACCATGATAACGGCGGGGCCAGAAATAGCGGGGCCACCGGGGAATGCGGGCCGTCTCTTCGTAGCTTTCATTATAGGGAATGTAGAGAGGTTCCCATAATTGTCACGCTTGACGAGCGGGTTGGCAACCACAGTTTTTTTATTGTAATTTTGCTGTTATCAGGAAGATGCCGCTGCCCATCTCCTGCCTGTTTCCCTTTGTCGCCTTTTACGACACCCACGGGAAGATACGGGGTAGTGGATATTTTTAACAGCCACTACATGATGATTACTACACTATGAAAAATTATAATGCGGCAACTTATTGTATCAAATCTCTGAAATAAATTAAATAACATAAATACTCTCACCCTGAGATTTACACGTTGGTTCTTCTTCATTTCAATTCCTATTCTTTGAACCAGCTCTTTAGATTTTTGTTGCATTATGCGGAAAACCCCTCTCAACTTCGCTGCGGTGAAAACAGCCGTTAAACGGCGTCTCAAAAATGACCAAAGGGGATCCTGTACGAGAGATACTCATAATAATACAATTACATAATTAAAAAAAAATTACATCATCTATGCAACTTTAATTTTAGCCTACAAAAGTCTATGTTGTATAAGTATATGCTGAGTATATGCCTGCCACATAGATTGCCTCCTGTGGGGGGAGGGGATTATAAAAGACTATAATATAGTTGCCACGCTTGGCAAGTGGGTTGGCAACATTTAATATAATTTTAGTTGTTATCAAAGAACCATTGCCTATCTTCTGTTTCAGTTTGTCGCCACCTACGACACCTACGAGATGATATGGGCTTAGATATGGGGTAGTTGACACCGCCACTTTACGGTTAAACTTTTAATTGCTACTGTATTTCTTATGGTGAGTAAAGAACCGGCGACCTATTTTACTGGAAACGAGGCATTTTAACTATGTCAGCGGTGACAATACATCTGCATTTCATTCTTAACCGATAATAGATGTTTATGTCTATGGGCCATAGCATCCACTTACCTTCAGGTTTACTATGTGCTTATTTTTCACCCGTATTCTATAGAAAAATTAAAAAAAAACATTTGACATTTAAGAAAACATGCATGCATTCGAAAATGACCTATCCTGTGTTTGGACTAGTCTAGATTCATTTATTTTTTAATTAATCACAACAACAAGAATAAGTAATATTATATAAACACAAGTAACTCCTGGTCCTAAACTATGCCATTTAACAAAATTATTTTTAACCTAATCTAATTTACTTAAATATATAGGTACTATACGATAAGAAATAAAATATATAGATACTATACGATAGGTAATAACCGAGACTCAGGTGTCCTCTCCGGCTGATACTTCATATCTCTCCTACCCGGGGTACAAATTGGAACACTCCTTTGTGCCCCGGGCTGGAGTTTGCGTATACGTCAGAGAGGACATCTGTTTTCGACGCCTCGGCAGTCTTGAAGGTCCATCCCCGCGTCTACGGATGCCTCTATAGGTCCCATAGCGGTAATGCCGACACAGACCGACTCATCGATCACGTCCAAATGGCTGCAGACTCCGTGCTACAACAGATCCCATCCGCAGAGATCGTGATGTCAACATAACATGTTTGACATTGGAGGTTAAAAATAATACTTCTAATAATCCAAAATGGCGGCTGCTAGTCTCAGCGTAAAGTAGTAATTTACGCTGTACGGGATTATAATGTCTGAGTGTATGCGCAAAAAATACAGATGCACTCTCTATTATCTTACACTCATTGTCCCATTGGGACGGTAATCCGACATGACCGGAGAGAAATCTCACGTACGAAATTTCACGAACACACTTCGCGTCAAAATTCAAGATATCATCCTCACCATCTGGATGCTTGGCGATTCACGACTGTGTGTTTTACTAGGAGTTTTCTTCTTCGTACAAATTCTCGGTGGAATTGTTTACCACCGGGGATTTTTCCGGATTGATACGACTTAGGGACCTTCAAGAAAAGAGCTTACACCTTTCTAAAAGGCGGGCAACGCATCTGTATTTCCCCTGGTGTTGCGGTTGTTCATGGGCGGCGGTAGTCACTTACCAGCAGGTGAGCCGTATGCTCGTTTGCCCCCTCTTCTTTCTTCAGAGGCACGGGGGTAAAATAACGTCAGCTTCCCGACTCCGGGCTGGTACTGTGAATTTCTTAACAAAAAACCAATAACTGATTTTAGCTCGACCCGTATTCGTACCCGGGATGTCGTGATCAGCAGTCACGGTTACAAATATGACCAACGAAGTTACTTCTAATACTAATAACTTAAGGATTAGTGTCCGTATTTTTATTTTTTTCTAGTAAGGATGATATATATAACCGCACAATATACCGATAATGATAAATAGATACTGTGACCCATAGACACCCATCCTTGATTAAGAATCAAAATGCAGATATGTTTTATATGTCATCCCTGAGAACTAATACACAGAATGCTTCGGCACTAAAGGCGCCGTTCCCCCTTTGCCTTGGTTCCCATCACTTGAAAAACATGTTTCGTATATTGCGTGATGAGAACTGCTATAAAGTATACCTTAAAGAGCGTAGTCCTTCGCCATTTTGGCCGACTTATTCGCGCTGCAGCGATAACATAGCAACACAGATGCCCTACCATGTTATAAAGTAAATACAAGGTAGGACCTAATGTTGGCAACGCAACACAATCCAAATACAATTCAAATTCAATTAAAAAATTTTAATATTGTAATGAAATTCTTCCTTCCTTCTCGTGTACGTGTACGTTATAGTTGTTTGTTTTATGTGTCGAAATGAATTCGATATACTAACCAAGAGCCTTAGAAGCATTTTAATACAACTACTGTGTCATCATCATCATCATCACTACAGCCCTTCACAAGTCCAGTCCCGAACACAGGCCTCCCCCAAGGAATGCCACAAAGCACGATCCTGAACCACCTGCATCCATCGACTACCTGGATGTCTTATCACGTTCTCACTACATCTAGTAGGGGGCCGCCGTACACTTCGCCCACCGATACTGGGTACGGGCTGCCTCTCGACAACCTCTCTTCCCTATGAGTTGTCAATTCTTCGAGCTATATAGCCGGCCCATTGCCACTAAAGCCTAGTAATCCGTTGGACTATTTTGGTTACTCTGGTTCTACTGCGGATATCCTCAGTTCTATGTTTATCACGTAGAGAGACCCGAACATAGCCTTCTACCTCGCTGAGCCACCTTAAACTTTCTCAAACGGCCAGCAGTGAAAGACCACGTCTCTGTTTCATAAATCATCACTGGTTGTACAATCTTGTTTTGAAGGCCTGACGAGAAGATGTGTCGTAATCTTTCGAACGCTGCCCAGCCGAGTTGAACCCATCGATTAACCTTTCGGTCGAAGTTGGACTTACCTAGTCGGACTATTTGTTCTACAACCATTGGTTTTAAATTTAAAAAAAATTGGTTCGACTAAACCAATGAGGCAAGCGATAGATACCATATTAAATAGTTGGCAACTCTACCCGGGAGAGTACATTATCATAACATTGTATCTCAGCCCACAGCATCCACTTACCGTCACCTATTTACCGTCACAAAGCCAGCAATTTTAGACACCAATATTATACCACTTACTTTCACTGAGAATAGATTGAGATGTCCGATCGGATCGGAGGGTCCGGAGCTCAGAAATCTATCTTTGAAAACAGCGGCATCCTTAATTAATATATTTCGCGCCATTTCTGGGTCGTTGATGATCACAGCCGGACGAAAAAACACCCACATTCCGACATACGGCGAATCAAAGCGTTCGTACACATTCCGCATCCATATCGCCTTAAATGTAACATAATTTTATAAACAAAATGAACGCGTACCTTTCCGCACAGTTAAAGGTGAAACTTGTTTTTTTTTTAATTTATTTATTAATTTATTTATGAAACAGTGGTGTTACTTAATTCTAAACTCGCCAAACTTTTACGTTTGATGGCGGTTGTTATGTGATGATGGTTATTAATAATACTTGCTTATATTTATTTCTGATATGTATTTATTTTGATTTATTTATTATTATATTAGCCTCCGTAGCGGAGTGAATTAGCAATAAGTTGCAACGCCAAAGACCGCGGGTTCGAATCCCGCACGGAACAAGTATTGATATGGCCTACAAATAAGTGTTGAAATTGTGTTAAATAGAGGAGAAAATCCTAGTAAAAAAAATATTTTTAATTCATTTATATAAGGGTATAAGTACATATATAGATGTATAAAGCAAGCTGTGAGACATTACATCTCGGTTATCATAAGTCTGGCAATGCTTCTGTAGCCTTCTTTGTTTGAAATACTTTAAATTAGTTGATTGCGGGCGTCCATAGACTGCAATAGCCACATATCATCAAGTGAGCTGTAAGTTTGTTTGTCACATTCGTTTTATAAAAAAATACATAAATGAATACCAATACTCACCGGATTGTACCTCATTAAAAAAGTTAAGCTCCCGAGGAAAGGGTAGACGGGCAAGTGCTTCACACCACGCTCCGCCCAATACATTCTCAGCTTCAACCACTTCAAGCAAAACCATATCAAGGTGCAAAGTGATATAATAATTAGCAATGACCAGAACATCTGGAAGCAGACAACATAAGTAACAATCCCTCTTTATTATAGTGTTACCTCCCCCTCTCCCTCTCTAACAAAAATAGAATCATTGAAACCAGACAACAGTTCATAATAATTATGATTTAATGACGGATCGGTGGCACAGTGGCTTAGCTTTGCGGGTTCGTATCCCGCACAGAATATATTAATAAATATTTATTTATGATCTACAAAACACTCTTCCGCGACTGGAACTCCTATCTCCTATAAACTCTCCAATCACACTCTTAATCTCATGGCTTATAGACGGGAAATGAAGCCGCAGTCTTCAACAATTAAACAGACAGATCTCCAAATGCATACTGCGGGACATACGCATCTTCAATACAGCTTGTAATGAAGAAGCAATCGAGCGGAACCAAGGCTCCAAAATTTTTGTCAGACATCTGTCTGCCAGAAAGAGTCAACTGTCAAAGCTGAAAACCGAGTGTGGCAGCATTATTTCCGGCACACCTGAGATTTTGAGTGAGATTGAGAGGTTCTATGGGCAGCTGTACACTTCATCGTTGTAGCCATACGTAAGTGTGAGTAACGATCCAAGAGCAAGTCTTATCCGACACTATTCCCATGATATTCGAACATCAGTCTGAGCGAAATTAGAATGGCTCTCCAGCACTTTAAGAACGGCAAGGCCCCATGTGAGGAACGAATCACATTGGAGATTCTAAAAGCGGTTGGAAAACCGGTACTTGATCCTTCAGAAGCTTTTTAATTCTGTCCTCCATGGTGAGACTACTCCAGAGGCGTGGAGCAAAAGTGCGGTGGTCTTGTTCTTCAAGAAAGGAGACAATGCCCTCTTGAATAACTACTGACCGATTTCGCTTCTGAGCCGCGTCTGGTGCTGTTTTCGAGAGTCATTAAGAATCGTCTCGCACGCAGACTCGACAACTTCCAGCCTTCCGTACAAGCCAGTTTCCCAAGAGGCTTTAGTACCATATACCACATACACACCCTTCGGTAAATTGTACATAAGACAGAAGAATACAATATATAAAAAAACACTAAGCATATATATATATATAAAATATCTGACGAATCGAGCTTATATACATAGGTGAACTTGATAGTTAGCACACGTAATTTAAGTCTAATTAAAACTTTTTTGATAACCACCAAAAACGCTCAAATTCATACCTTTAAAACAGAACTGATCGATGATTCTTAGACAATAATAACAAGTAATATATAATATTTATAAAACACGACACACGAGTGTTCTTTGGAAGACGTGCAACCGACTAGTCTATTTTTAAATAGACAGACAAGAAACTCGTATGAGGATCATTATCCTCATATCTTGTCTTACTATTATGCTTTTGTTTTGTTAAACTTATAATTATACGTTTAACAAAACAAAAACATAATTTATGTAAGTTATTTTCTCTTGAATATCGTAGAACTTGTTGTTGTTTTTAATGCAATACCGGTTCTTGCGGCAAAAACCAAATGATATATAGATATGATATTCCCTAAGTGATTTTATCAAATTACGGTGGATGTTAAAATAGCAATACGATTTTATCATTTCCCTCAACAAATCTAGTGATTTAAACAAATACCAGAAATGTTTCCGTGGAATGACAAAAAAAATCAATTATATTATAAAGGTATATTTGGTAAGTCACATAATCTATACAAATAAATAAAATTGAAGTGTCTGTTTGTAATGTCAAATCTACGGCTTTTTACTAAATGCATATGAAAGTATATACGATACTTATAACAAAAACACAATTTTTAAAATTTTTCTCTGTCTGTCGGTGTGTCTGTCTGTTTGTTCCGGCTAATCTCTGAAACGGCTGGACCGATTTTGACGGGATCAGATAGCTGATGTCATAAGGAGTAACTTAGGCTACTTTTATTTTAGAAAAAGAATTAGGGTTCCGCGCAAAAAAAAAACTAAAACCCCAAATAACACGCGGGCGAAGTCGCGGGGAACAGCTAGTAAATAAAAAGGTGTAATATAATGCAATATTGATCTCAAAAATCACCACTGGAACATGTATTTGAAACGAATCATAGTTACGTATGATACGTGTAACAATTTGATAATTGTTGTTATTCATTTATTATAACACGTAGTAGATTTGTGGCATCGTGATAACAAAGAACATCACTTTCCTTACAGGCACTTTTATTCGTTTTGCATCGTACTTTGGACTTTTATCAGTAATACTGTTACTGTCCTTTGCCCTCGAAAGAAATATAATTTTCCTGCAATTTCACACAAACTCAGCTTAGTTGATGGAACTGAATCGATTAATGTGGCAATTTGAAGGACGTTTCTAGAAAGCCAATCTCTTATAATGCCAACTGAATTACCTATTTGAAATATTGTTGTTCGTGTCTAATACAAACCCTATAATATTATTTACATCTAGTAGACCTCTGTTCACTTTAGGTACATCAATCAAAACGGTGGAACCAACTAATACGTCCTTGAATTTCTTCGAACGAATTTCGTTCATTTTATCAGCAGATCTATTTAAATTTTGTGAAGCATGTTCCCTTTGCTTTTTAATATTCCCTTCTCTTTGACATAACAATCATAGAACTCCAACCCACACCCTTCTTTGCTTGTCATATTGCCAAATATTGCATGCACTGAGTTTCCACAAATGTCACAAGTGTCAAATGAATGCGCTCCTGTAGATTCTTGTCCACAAACAATACAAAATATTTTCTGTACTCTCTCAACTGATTCACTTTCTGATGCAACAAGTGATCCAGCTGTTAACTCATCTGCTAAAATAGCCTCTTTATGTAATTCCACATGTTCTAATACAGAAGTCAAAGTGGTAACATTAACAGATTCAGACGGCATGGCTGAGATACCAGCTACAATTCGCTCTGAAATCTATGTGGTAACATTAGTAGATCCAGACGGCATGGCTAAAGCACCAACTACAGCTCGCTCTGAAGTCGAAGTGTTATCTTCAATTGATTCAATTGCTAGTTGTTCCTCTGAAATTGTAGCGTTGTTGTCAATTAATTCAGTAGCTGATACGTTTTGCTATTTAAAAAAACTGGCACAAATCCTCTACAGTAACTAACTTGTTAAGTAATTGTGTTGAAATATGAGTAAATTGGAGTCATGTTTTTGGTTCTGTTATAATAAAATAAGTAATAATTTTTTGTAAGGTGAGCGCTTAATAGTACGATGAAAGGAGGAATTCTTTTTAAATTAAACAAAATAACAGCCAATCGCCCCATTGTTAGTGTTATTAACAATTAACTAAGCCCGTAATATAGCTTTGACATCTTGGTTTTCGCGCTCAACTGACTCTTGACTCTCTGGATGTTTAGGCCTGCCAATGATAATTTTTCATGTTGGCCACAAGGTAGTTAATTTATGAATGATTGAAACAGTAAACTCAAGTCCATTGTCACTTTGTCGTATATGAAGACAACCGACTTCCAGGAAAATGTTTAATAGTTCAATTAATAATTCAGCTGCTCTTTTTGAAATCAATGGTCACAGAAAGCTGAATTTTGTTGCGTGATCCTGGTAATGTAATAGCCATTTATTATTTCTGTCGGGAGTCGACAGTAAGTCAATTAAATCAACCTGGCCGTTGATCAAATCACTAGAAATCACTAGAGACAATTGGGCAAAAAAGATACCTTTTATTTGAATTTTTTTGTAGATTGACATACCGTACACAGTTCCAAAACTTCCAGTACAACAAAAATGGGAATTAAATATCTGGATTTCAAATTTTATAGCATTTTATTTCTGTCTCCGCCCACCGCTTGATGAGTCTCACGAAGTATGGCATAAAATTCAGCTGGAGGTACTATTTTCACCACTGAGTAAGAAGTAAACTTTCTTTCCAAAATCAAAAACTTTGACAGTGCCTACCTCCATTATATCATATTTGTTTCCGTTATAAATTGCTTGTTTGTTTTCTAAGTTTCAGTACTGCAGTAGGTTTAAATTGTTCAATTGCTGTATTAACCTCTTCTAACCTTTCTCGATTCCATAACGGTTTTTTTTTATCATGCCGCCTCTCTAATATTCTCATAATAGCTTCATTGAACTGTTCTTCACACACAAACTTGGTATGAGGCTGATTTTGTCCCACATTCAAAGCCATTCTCTAAACTTGGTAAACAAACAAACGTAAAATTATACTCAATAGTGCAGCGACCTTCCTTAATTCGTGTTTAGAACCAACTGAGATAGAGAAACTTAGAGAAACTGCGGGTGCCGCGGGACGGTGGACCAGGGAGCGTGGTACCTGACTACTATGCGCGCATAACAAGAACTGACATGCTTTTTTGTCATTTCAGGAAATCACTTCAGGTATTTTTTTCAAATCACTGGATTTGTTTAGAGAAATGATAAAATCGTATATAAGAATACGATTTTATCATTTCTCATACATTAACATCCTCCGTAATTTGATCAAATCACTTACTTGGGAACTGACCAAATCTCTATTTTCATCATGTACCTGCGACATATATAAACTCGGGGTCTCTCTATGTTACAGACTTAGGAATAAGAATATCGGCAGTAGAACTAGAGTAACCAACATAACCAAACGGATCAGTAAGCTGAAGTGGCAATGAGCCGGCCATAAGCTCGAAGAACCGACAACCGATGTGGAAGAAAGGTTCTCGAGTGGCAGCTTCGTATACGCAGGTGAAGTATACAGCCCAATAGATGGGGTAATGACCTGGTAAGAAATTCAAGAAAATCTATGGTGCAGTTTGCAGTGCATGAATGCAGGTGGAAACTCAGGACCTAGCTTTGTGGTATTACTTAGACCTATGTTCAGATGGTAATGATGATGATTATATAAAAAAAAACTGTAGTAGATTTTTCCATTTGTTTTTAATAACCCTTTTCTTATACACATTCACATGTTGACCGTAATTAGTTTTCATTGAGAATTGGAACGATATGGACTACGTAGATGTTATTGCAGCTTCTGCTATTTATTTAATGAGTGCATATAATT